GAATGTGTTAACCATGTCCGGCTCTACTGTGGGATCACTTCAAACACGCTTCGACCAACGAGCTGTCATGGTTAAAAGCTGAAAAACCATAGTCATTGGGGAATCACCATGGTAAAGGAAGAATGATAACCATGGTACATCATGGTTATTTTAGCCTGGGGAGTCGGCTCATCTCGTGACATCCAAAAGGGAGGGGCGAGGGGGCCGTCTTTAATTCGTTTCGTGACACGAAAAAGCAAATATGATAAACCCTTGCGACCCGCGTCGCGGTGCGGCGGTCGAGGATCCAGTTTCTGAAGCGTCCCGCCTGTAAGTCGCCACCAGCAGCAGACGGCACCCTCATGCCGACCGATGCCTCCTGCTCCTGGAATGCCATTACAGACTCCCCCCCCCCCCTACCCCCTCATTGTGGTTAATTAGGCTCACTCCTTTTCCCCTCCCCTCCACCGAGCCACCAACCAGAGAGCGGCAGCAGACGCCGGAGCCGTACCACTCAGCAAAGCACACACACACACACAATTTTCTTTTAGACAGCTAAGGACACACACACACACACGCGCGCACTTTTGTTTTCGCAATTTCTTTTCCCAGTCGTGATTCCGTCTCTTTCCGTCGCTCCGTTTATCTCTGTTTTTCATTCTCATCGAGTATCAGTAAACAGGGTAAACAGAGCAAGGCAGAATATAGGAATATAGAGACGAAATTGGGAAAGAGTGAGGGGATGCGGCGAACGTGAGTAGACAGGGAGTTAGAAAGGGGGGGGGGGCAGTCTGAAAAACGGATTCCACCTGCACTTCCCCCCCCCCTTTTCCACTCACACGCTCGACTGGGGCGGCGCGGCGCTTCCCTTCGGCTCCAATTAACCTAACATTTTCGGCGGCCTGCCGCTTGTCGCCCCCCCCCCCCTTCCGCAACGCCCCCCTCCTAATAATGACAACGACTACCCGTGGGTATTGATGGATCGCCCTGCTCGCGGTGGGCGCCGCGGTAGGGCGGGCGTGGTGTACGTGGCGGGGCGGGGCGGGGCGGGGCGGCGCCTACCGACAGGGGCGTGCCCGGCGCGGCTAATAGAATTTTCATTACCGCTGCCGCGGCGCCTCTGCGCGGCTTCACACTCGCTACGAGAGCTCGCCTCCGCCCGGCACTCTCTCTCTCGGGTGGCGCCTATATCCTGACGACCTCCGAAACGTCTCGCGCGGGGCTTCATCGCGGGAGAATCAAATTATTGCGCCAACCGCGCGAAACTTGTGAGAAACGGGAATATAGAGTGAGTTCGGCGCATTTGAAAGGAAATTGAATGTTTTGTGCGGTGGGGTCAACACACGCATCTGCCCCACCTTCCTCTCCCCCTCTCTCTCTCTTTCTCTGTCTCTCTTTCTCTCTGTCCCTCTCTCTCTCACACACACACACACACACACACGGACGGCTGTCACTCGCCTATTAGGGCCGATTGTCACGGCGGCGGAGCGGCGCGCGTCGGACCGCGCTATTCGCCACGGGGACGAGCGAGGGGCCCAGTGGCAGCCGCCTCGGCAGCCGCCGACTATCGAGGCATCCATCTAGCAGAAAACGAGATGTGATGACCCTTTGTCAGCGGGGCGGCAGCGCCGGGCCTCACTCCGCGACGGGCGGGGTGGGGCGGGGCGGGGCGGGGCAACGCAAGGACGCGGGCGCATCGGGTCGCGTTTCGCGCTCGGGGGAATTCCTCAGCCACACACATCTCCCTGCCGCGCACCTGCGCTAGCCGGGGAGGGAGTAGACGTGTACATCCATAAAGTAGGGAAATAAGGTCCATCAAGAAAAGAGGGGCGAAAAGTTAAAGACATCTTGTTGCTAGGGGATGAGGCAGGAGGGGGGGGGGAGGAAGGTGGAAGGTGTTGCCGGTGGCTGGTGCTAGCGGGTTCGGACAGGAAGTGATTTAAGAACACAGCTGAGCTTACGAAAGAGAGGCGTTGCTGCACACACCGATTCCCCCCCCCCTCTCTCTCTCCCGAGGGGCATCCTCCACCCCTTTTAGCCCCACTAGCCGCACCTGGTACCCCGACACCCACCCCTCTTCGTCGAGCTCCTGGGCGTCCTCCAGTCCTGATCATTGGTCCTAAAGCCCCGAGCCCCGGGACTCGCTCGAGCCAGATTTCGCGATTCACCTGCAAGAGCGAGTGAGTACATGTTATGCTCTTCTTCCTCCTCCTTCCCCGTTCTAGCGAGCCATTCCCACGTAAAGCGAGGGCGCGGCCCGACTTAGATCCGACTCGCTATTCTGGTCCAGCTCTCTAGATTTAGAGGTCTCGCCCCCCCCCCCTCTCCCTCCTCCTCTCTCCCTCCCCAAGCGCCCCCCCTCTTTCCCCAGACCTACTGTCTTCTTGGCGATCATCCCGGTTCGACTTCGCCACGGTCTGACATTGCTCTCGGACTGGGTGCCAAGCAATTGTATGAGAAATTGCACTGAAGCAAGCGGGAAGTGTGTGCACGAGAAATTTCAGCTAATGGGTCACAGTGCCATATGAGCAATTTGCGACGGAAATTGTTAACTATTCTAGTTTTTCATAAAAAAAAGTACAAGTAGCAATAAGTAGTAGTTGCTGTTCTTTTCAACAAAGAGTGCAAAACTTCACTTCCAGTCCATCAATAATTTATAAATATCTTGGAATATAATATGCACTGTAAAAAATATGTGTCGGAAAAATCCCATAAATGTGTCTGAAGCAAATTACATATACAGTGTGTAGGATTTTCCCTATACGACTGTGTGGAAAAAATCCCATACGCGTGCAGCAGATCTACGAGACAAGTGTCGGATTTTTCCTATACGAGTGTGTGGGAAAAATCCTAAACGAGTGCAGCAGATTTCCTTGACAATTGTGGGATTTTTCCCGTACGAATTGGATACCACATGTGGATATTAGAAGGCGAAAAGACTGCTGGTATAAAACGATTGAAACAGTATCGCCGCCTAAAAGACATCGTGCCACGAGAATGGGTCCCGCGTGCGCTACCCAAGACAATAAAACAGAAGAAAAACTCTGGTCTAATTTTAAATCGGTGGTGTGAAAGCTAGAACGCTAATCTCGAACGCGCGGTAGGGGGGCCAGACGGCGCCAGCGTTGAGGGTCAATCAACAACAGCCTGACGGGCAGCCGTGCTTCAATTAAATATTCTGCTTGAAAAAAAATATAAGTATTTAAACAGATATGAAAGGGAATACAAAATGCTCCCACAAGCCAGATGCAGTTGCACGAAAATAGAAAAAGATTGTGTTGGAAATTCATGACAAAAAACATAACCATGATTTTTGTCTTTAAGATTGCGAAGGCGTTAACGTGTTCACAACGACCTGCCGACAGCTCCATGCCAATTCAATCTCGATTCGAACGTCCCGCCCAAAGGCCGGCGCT